AGCAGCGTACACGCCATCCTCTGTAATACGCATACCGTACGTGTACGAGGTCCGTGCACACACCATCCGCCGACACACGCGTCCTCTCGCGCACACGGACCACCGGTGAACAGAGGATCCTTCTTCGATATACCACAAAGGAGAGGAGATAGAAGGGAAGGAAGTAGCGACGCGGATGTTCCGACCAGTGCTACGACGGAGACGCGAGGAAGGAATTAACTCGAACGCGCGATCAACGGTTTCCAAATAAGTGAAAATATCATCACGGGGAAGATAGATAGACTTTTGGTGCGAAGCAGGTGCGAACGGTCCTCGTCTGTTTCGTCTCTTCTTCGTTCATCGGCTTCTGACATCGAGGAATAGCACGTGCAGGTGTGTATCCGAACGCGGGCACGTGTACGGTGCACGCTCGTCACGCTACGTATATATGCATACGTATTTCTATGCGTGTATGTGTGAATGTGTGTGTGTATGTATATATATATACGCGTGTGTGCGTGTGTGTTGCGTGTTTGGCTTGATTAGGTGAGATCGAAGAAGGGGAACGGAGGTAAAATTTTAACGAAACGGACAGGTGGTAGGCATAGGCGAGTTTTCTGTCGATCCAGTCGCGAGTGTTACTGTTGTTGTTGTTGTTGTTGTTGTTGTTACTATCCTCAGTGCGTTTTTAATCGATGGTAAACACTGAGCCGTGAGTGTTTCTCTTTAAAGACGCGAGTCGAAAGGTCGCGTAAACCATTGGGGACGAACTAACAGTGAAACCGGAAACGGCCATCCGAGACCGCCGCGGTATTGTTCGAAGAATACACAGTGAAACAGTAATTAGAGTGGATAAACGAGGAATATTTCGAGGAAATTCTTTCCGATTATGCGTGGCACACTTGGTAATCCTCTCTTTATATCTTGGATGTATCTTTATGCAAATCGAAGATTTGTCGTTTCTACGTATCTTGGTGGAATTTCGTGAGATTCAAATTATCCAATTAATCGATCCCTTCTTTTGATTCTATTTATTATTCGAGTATTGCAGTTTCACATTCACGTTTCTTCCCAGAACGCAAGATCACTCGATATCTCGCGATATTTTGCGAAATTCCGCAATTTGCATAGAGTAATTCTTCGAATTTAAAAACTCGTTTGAGAAGGATGTAGGATAGGCATTGCGAATCAAAGTATCCACACGTGTGCCGCAGAAAAATTATTCTTAATTAATTATTCTTTTACTTCCAATTCGTACGAATTGAAAATTCGAGTCGATCTCTCTTCTTAAGCGGCATACTTCTCATTTGAAAAATTCTTCTTGCACGACCTACATGCACTCGTCACGAAAATCTTGTACAAGAGTCTTAATGGTCTGTCGAAAAGGATTATTTACCGACGAATCAACTTTGAAGGTGAGCAAAAGGCGAGGGAAACTTTCCATCCCACGTCTCACCCTTTCGCATTAAGCAGCTCGTAAATATTGACTTACGGTCGAGTAGGCGTAAAGATCGGTTCGTCATTTGTGCTCCAGAGTGGCTCCGTTGACAGCTATAATTTGTATCGTGCGCAGTTTACATTGTTCGCGACCAAACCCGCTCCTCGCTGCCTGCATAACAGCGCGGCTTTAAATCAATGTACCACCACGTAACGTTATTGATAAAAGGGGTACGTACATATGTATCACGTTGCACGACGTTTGCGTGTCCGTACACGGATGCACGCGCTCTGTACTTTTCCTCTTTTTCTTTTCCTTTTTTCTTCTTTCGCATCCACCTCGTACGACTTTCCAACCGTGAAACACGAAACGATCCGAATTTCCTCTGTTTTTCGGGGGAATAGTTCGAATTTATTTCGTTCGTCGAAATAACCAAAGGATAGGAATATTTTCTTTTTTTTAAATTGCATGTGTTCCTGCGTAAGATCTTTTTAACGAGAGTGATGGTTCGCATATACGTCTTCCAAGATTTCGAATCTATTTTGGTCAAAAGAAATAAAAACGATAAGAAGACAAGTATTTTTAAATCACAGCGCGAGGGATATACTCTTCGATTAAGGATAAAGATTTTTTCTCAAAATATATTTCAAAGAGTGGACAGAATTCTATCTACTCTTAATATCCAATTTTTTTAATTACCCTTGGACGAATTATCGAAATCATTCGATCACGAGATTCAACATATGAACGCGTATTTCGACGATATAGATTCGTCTCACCACCTCGAATACCATTCATCGTTCGACGTGTCTCTCAAAATCGACACCATTCCATCTCTAATTTCAAAGAATTAACCGTAGAATTTGGCATGGCGATACGATTCAGTTTACGACAGGTGTTGTAACTGGCCCAGATTCCGGTTCATTTACCAATAGAACCGCTTAAATATATCGATTGATTGCGCAAGGAAATCCTTGCGAATCGCGGATTCCTCGCGATCGGCAGGATCGATAGAGGGATCGCAAACGAAGAAGGAAAGTCGATCTTCGTTTTCTATCTATCTTTCGATAGGATTCAATCGTGGATCTGTAAAGGAAGAGCGGCCAATTAAGTTCGCAAAATGTCTGACGCGCATTTCGATTCATCATCCATGGGCCAATTTCTATACGCTCGAATCAGAGTCGATTCGTGTCCACGACGCTTCTGCCCGTGTCTATTATTCATTTGACGAGATTTATGGGTGAATCGGTTTCGCCAAGCCTGCATTTCGCGTGCGGTATTCGCGGTTGGTTTTTTCTTTTTTTCTTTTTTTTTTTTTTTTGGAATTGCAAACCTTTTAGCGCGAAGCGTGTAAATCAAATGGATGCGTGAAAGTTGATGAGTTTCGAGGTGTATTGGATATATAAGATTGTTTTAATTGTGCATTGAGATTCAGATCTCTTAGGTGTTAAACGCGTCTTTTGAAATATTTTATGATCAATATTAATGATCGCGTGAAAGCATTGATTGTCATATAGAGATAGAGTTTTTTTTTTTTTTTTTTTGGTTT